AACTATAAACAAACGTCTATTTCTAAATACTAAGTCCAACAGTTTTAATGCTTACCTCTTTTTAAGACCACTGTATAATTTACGATTGTACAACGTCGCTTTTATCTCCCAATTAAAAAGTCCAGCGGACAGTTCTCCCACCAGGCTAGTATCCCCATAATGTTGATTGACAGTCAATTCGTTGTTCCATTTATTGTCTATGTCAGATGGAGGAAAACACGGAGTAACATCCATTCGAATTCCAAAGGGAACTGCTATTGATAGACTCAGTACGACGGGGATTAATTTAGAGATATCCACTCTCAATCCTAAATTAAGAGCGTACATCAACGGATTAATTAAAGTGATCAAATGATTTACGGTTAAAACGGTAGTAATATTAATGTATGCGATGGGAGGAAAGGGGGATTCTAGGAGCGTTTACCACATTTGGTTGGAAAATCCCGTGGAAACGTATCATTGCCTATGGAACAGTCTGTACTAATTGCCCTATGTCATAATGACGTCACATCATTACAAAGTATTGTTTTAACGCTAGGGATCTTGGTCGCTGGAGGGGGATGGAATGACAACAACAAATCTTAAATCACAATGAAATTTGGTTTATGAGCTGGTGAAGGCAAGAACTACTAAATACTACGCTAAATATCTCGAAAGAAGATAATTAAGCTTAAGGTAATTCCCTTGTTTTGCACTGCGTATTTTTCTTTCGGAAACTAAATAAGAAACATGTTCCAAAAAAATTTTTACTTTTTTTCTCTTTTTACTGGGATACCTGTGGTATATCAGCTATAAAATGCCTTTTTTTTTTGTATTTTTCTCCTCGACAAAATGGCAAAGTTGCGCAATAGTTACCCAGGGGTCTTCAGGAACTTACCCAAGAGACTTTCTGGTATCTGCGGGTTCCCGTCTATGGTCCAATCAATTATCATGTACCAGATGTCAATCAATGTCACTATGTTGACAAGTGATTTAGAGAATGTGGAGCTAACATATCACGTGGCACAGGTTTAAGTCTACGCATGCTCTATTTCGTTGACCGCCGTAATTCAATACAGCAGAACTAGAAATATTATTTATGAATTTCGTAAAAAAGGATTTCAAGTCGAGAACTGATACCGAGAATTTCGAAGCGATTATTTCTAAGAATTTACAATGAACTTCATGAGCAAAAGCTTGTKTTGGTTAACTATTCATGATTCATCTACTCGAGCAGTATTTTCTGCACGAACGGGCGAAGATCGATGAGGAGAACAGGGTTTCAAGAGTCAGAATTACGATAAGCGATAGTAAACAAATATTTCATTATTTAGTATGACTCGTTAATTCTCTTGAGCTTTACAATATAGTCTTATAACCTATATTTATGTATTTATATTAACTGTTTTGGCTTCAAAGTCTATACTCACAAAGGAACATGAGGTACATAGCAATCTATTTATTTTAAGATTCTATTTGATTTAAGAAGCAAAATTAATTTCTACGCACATTCCAGGGTTGGATCTTTGCCGTTCGAAGCGTATATGATCTCCTTTAATCTTTCTCCAAAAAAATGGCGATTCGTTAAAGAAATATCGATAAATTATAAAATGTAAAGCAATTATGAGAGAGGGTTTGAGCAAATATTAGCCTGTATTTACGTTTTACATGAAGCTTTTTGATTTTAAAGAGACGTTGCAAATTACGTATGCCAAAATCCGGATCCCGGGACTGGAATTAGAGTTCCAGATTGAGTTTTTTGATGAGTATGGCATAAACGCTCTGCCTGCAAACGGCTTTTAACACTGTCGTTCGAAATTTTGCAACTTATTTTTACTTCCGCTATAGATTCTTCGAGACCCTGATACTAGTAAACCATTCCAACCAGGGTCCGGTTTATCATTACTTTGAGACGTCACGAAATACTTTATCAGTATTTTTGGAAGCTGAACCAACTAAATCCTGCATGCATGTTAAAACCAGGTCCTCCAGGTATCCAGGTATCCCAGCTTACCCTGCCAGCATGGTTTGTTTGAGTAGGGAAATTGCGATTTTTTATCTGACTCGGCACAGTTTCCACTCGGAAAAGTGTCAGTTTTCGACTATTTTGAGATGGTTTTTTTTTTCAAAATAAATCAACAACGAGAAAGGTGACCCCCATTTTTTATTTCAGATTTTTGATAAATGCAATGCTCGTCATTACATATCAAAATATGAAGGAAAGTTTATTGGATAGATTTTGAAATATTTTTTAACGTGAATAGTTGACATTTGCAATTTTTGGACGTTCGTAAAGGCCCACATACCTGCATTTTTCACTAAAAGTTCAAGAATCATAGTCATCCAATGACTTTGATGGATTTATTAGTATAGAGTATCTAGTAAGCCTCGGGTTATAAGTACGTTTTGTTATATGAAAGTATTTTCAACTTTGAATAAAGGTTCTTGATTACAGCTTCCGGTTACTACCGCATTTCACTATAAAACCCATAAATTGACATATTTGGAGGGCATCTAGAGAAAAAACGAGAATGGCGACCCCATCTTTTTATTGCAGTTTTTAAATCTCCATAACATAATTAATGTCCATACAAAGTTTTAGGACAAAGTTATTGGCAAAATTTCTTTCGAGGGAATTACCTTAAATCTAGCCTAAATTTCTATTATTTTAGCCGATGTAAACAAACCGTAACGTCATTATGAAATAGGGCAATTGACCGGTGATCGACACGCAACATGACATAAACACTAATTAAATATGGCGGGACCATGCAACCTTAGCGTTAGACGTTTTGGCTAGTTATTGACGATGATAAAGGGGGAGCTTTTAGAAACAAATTCGCTATTGTATTAGATATTTTGAACAAGAAAGACAAATAACACCTGGCAGTAATGCCAAAAACAAAACTTCAAATATCTAAAAGTCTGGCACTAGTGTTTTGTCCTCAAATGGAACAAGGTTTTTTTCCGTTCGAAAGTATTCCTTTTTTCCGGAATATTTCCGCTGGAAGGAACCGTTCCCTTGGGTTAACCAACCGAAAATACCGGATTAGGATTTTAGGTAGGAAGTCAAGCAGAAAGGTATCGTCATACCGTCATATCGGAAAACCACTGCCATTTTAGTTTAGCCCCACTGCTACGTTTTCTTTTTTGTATGTGTTGTTTTTGTTTGTTTGTTCGTTATTGTTTCTTTTGGTTTTTTCTATTTAACTTACTTATTCCCTTGAAAAATTTCCACCATGTTTTTCGTTTGTTGGGGGAGATAGGCGGAGTAGTTTTTACTGGAATCTTGTAAGACAACTTTGGTTCAACCATTGCTTCCCATGACACTTTACCATCGGTTTTGATGTTGAGGTTAGCTTCAGGTTTCATTTCAGGAGACTTGCACAACAAGACAAGAAACAGCAAAATTAGCACTTTATTTTAAAATAAACAAGATTTTTGCTCCTCCCTGTTGGGCCTAAAAATGTTCTGTATTTGTAGACATGTGTGTATCAAGTTAATTTATTATTATTATTATTATTATTATTAAATGAACAATAGCAAAAAACAAGGAACAAAGAAACAAATGAACTATAAACAAACGTCTATTTCTAAATACTAAGTCCAACAGTTTTAATGCTTACCTCTTTTTAAGACCACTGTATAATTTACGATTGTACAACGTCGCTTTTATCTCCCAATTAAAAAGTCCAGCGGACAGTTCTCCCACCAGGCTAGTATCCCCATAATGTTGATTGACAGTCAATTCGTTGTTCCATTTATTGTCTATGTCAGATGGAGGAAAACACGGAGTAACATCCATTCGAATTCCAAAGGGAACTGCTATTGATAGACTCAGTACGACGGGGATTAATTTAGAGATATCCACTCTCAACCCTAAATTAAGAGCGTACATCAACGGATTAATTAAAGTGATCAAATGATTTACGGTTAAAACGGTAGTAATATTAATGTATGCGATGGGAGGAAAGGGGGATTCTAGGAGCGTTTACCACATTTGGTTGGAAAATCCCGTGGAAACGTATCATTGCCTATGGAACAGTCTGTACTAATTGCCCTATGTCATAATGACGTCACATCATTACAAAGTATTGTTTTAACGCTAGGGATCTTGGTCGCTGGAGGGGGATGGAATGACAACAACAAATCTTAAATCACAATGAAATTTGGTTTATGAGCTGGTGAAGGCAAGAACTACTAAATACTACGCTAAATATCTCGAAAGAAGATAATTAAGCTTAAGGTAATTCCCTTGTTTTGCACTGCGTATTTTTCTTTCGGAAACTAAATAAGAAACATGTTCCAAAAAAATTTTTACTTTTTTTCTCTTTTTACTGGGATACCTGTGGTATATCAGCTATAAAATGCCTTTTTTTTTTGTATTTTTCTCCTCGACAAAATGGCAAAGTTGCGCAATAGTTACCCAGGGGTCTTCAGGAACTTACCCAAGAGACTTTCTGGTATCTGCGGGTTCCCGTCTATGGTCCAATCAATTATCATGTACCAGATGTCAATCAATGTCACTATGTTGACAAGTGATTTAGAGAATGTGGAGCTAACATATCACGTGGCACAGGTTTAAGTCTACGCATGCTCTATTTCGTTGACCGCCGTAATTCAATACAGCAGAACTAGAAATATTATTTATGAATTTCGTAAAAAAGGATTTCAAGTCGAGAACTGATACCGAGAATTTCGAAGCGATTATTTCTAAGAATTTACAATGAACTTCATGAGCAAAAGCTTGTNAGTTTTTAAATGTTTATCATATAGTGCTCTTTAAGATGGTACTCACTTTAAAAAAAAAATTTTCATGATAAGATTTACTAAACTTAAATTAACTGTGATGTTTTTAAGATGCAGTTTAAATACTTAGAATGTTTGAAATGTCCTTAAGATGTGATTAATTTGAATGTTCTTGCAATGTTCACTGTGCAGCTTAATACCGCTTTCTGCATTCTAAGTAATACATTTTTGTATCTTGCTCCAAAGATATTCTTCATATCAGGCTCCATCTCTTTAGACCATCCTCCAAGAGCGTCCAAAATGAGGTTCACTTGCAAGATCGTGTATCCTGGGTGTTGTTTTGTGAGATCAAGTCTAAGTGCTCCATACTTCTTCGTCTTCTCTTTGTCTTTCTTTTCTCGGTTGTTAACCCACGGACAGCTCATTTCCACCATGAGTACTTTCTTGTTATCGTGGTCGATGAAACGCGCGTCCATACGATTAGATCGTACATACATGTGGTCAGCATATACAGGTAAATCCCAGTATGCTTCAGCGTCAGTTGATTTGTAGAGTGGTTTGGGTTTGACATCAGAAAACCATGGGGGTGTACTATTAGCCAGTTTGAGATCTCTTAGCATCTCAAAGAGAAACACTTTCAAAGCAGCGTTGTGTCTATCCAGGTACTTGGACTGTGCAAGAGATGGACATCTAGCCAGTACATGTGCCAGACATTCGGAACCCTCGCCGCACATTCTGCATGTGACATTATTCTTGTCTGTTGTTCCCGTCTTGTAGGCCGTGCAGACTCTAGTAATGCCTGCAATACAATGGGTAGCAGCGCTTACCCACTTGTTAAGCCATGCAAAGCAACCTTCATGACTTAACTGATCATCCTGCCATCTTGCTTTCAGTAGACTTCCTTGCCAATGTTGATCTTCAACCTTCCCCACGAGTTTTTCATTTACAGCTTTTTTAAGGTGTTTCTTGATGCGGTGCATTCCCTTGATCTTTATCTCCGGTTCTTCTAATGGTCTACATGACGGTTCAGGGGTATTTAGGTTCAGAGTTGTTCTTAGTTCTTGGGCAAATTTCTTTGCATCACTAATGAGAGAGGAGAATCTCTTGTCTACAGCTCTCCTTCAAACTGTTGTTATTATTATTATTATTATTATTATTATTATTATTATTATTATTATTATTATTGAACAAGCGACTTTTACGCCATTAGTATTCATTACAACTGGAGGTATGGCAGATGAGTGTAGAAGTTACCACAGTAGGCTCGCCGAAGTAATTGCCAACAAGACAGGAGAAGATTATGGTACCAATGTATCCTGTATACGAGCAAAGGCTTCTTTCTCCCTCTTGAGATCAGCTCTTATATGCCTTAGGGGCTCAAGAACCACAAGACGAGTACTTAGGAACATAAAGGACATAAACTTGAATGTTGAGACTGCAAATGCAGCAATTAGCTAAATATTTAAATCCTCCATATATACAACTAAATCTTTGCCATTATTATTATTATTTTTTTTTAACATATATTATTAGGATTAGCTTTTTACTAAATAGACTTTGCGAATAGTATGCGAACATTAAATGTGGTCATACTTTTAGGCGATGCGCTGTAAATTAGATATTGCATTAATGAATTCAAAATATGGTCTTACTTGTACGTTCGAGTCACATCCACGGCGGTTAAATGAGCACGTTCCTCCAATGAAGAGATTCTCAATTGTTAATGAGTTTGTTGTGTGTATCTCTGCTGTAGTCTAAATATACAAGTTGAAGCAATAACCGCGAATATATTTTTGCGGATTGCAGGAAGATTGGGGCTTTATATTTCCAATTCCAAAGTTGAGGGGGAAAAATGGATCGATTTGGCGTTGCAGTGTGGGGATGTTTTACCTGTACATATGCATGAGAGAATGACAAACACACAAAACTATATACAGTCCAGGCTCGTAAGAGACCACTTCGGGATTAATGCAAACGGGGTTTAAATCGTGGACGTAACTAGATCACGTCCCTTACGAGAGTCTTCGCAGAGAGAGCTCCGACTGTATTGTCGTATCCAACATCTTTGTTTTGCTCTGCTTCTGGGTCTCCCCATATGTTTTTTGGGATCCAAGATAARCAAGCTATATGGATCGTTAAAGCAGTTCATTGTGACTTCTGTTCCACAGTATAAAGAATAGAGAATCTTTAGAACCATTTTACCATTCATGGAAATACAAGAGCAAGACCAATTGTTTCTAAGTATTAAAAACTAAACTAACCTCTGTTG